ACAATTCTTATTTGCTTCTTTGCATGGACAACAACCTCGACCACTCTTTCGAGCGGAAGTTCCTCTCCACGGGTAGGAAACTTCAACTAACCCTTGGTCCTATTTGACAAGGATGGCAAACTTCAATTAAAAAAATTGATGAATGAATGAAAATGTAGTGTATCAACATTTTCACCTTCTTCGAAATATTCGCAAGGATTTTTGCGTTCCTCTTCAGCAACAACCGATCCATAAGCGTTTACTGCCTCGGAATCTACTAAATTAATAGATTCATCTGATTCCATACCGGATTAAAACGTATAGAACTGTTTTAAACAGAATTGTTTTGATAAGCTCTTCAAATTCATCGGAGAAAACGCAGAAAGTATTTTGAGACGTGACAAGGCAAAAATGACTGACTAATCAGAGGCGCTATTTAAACAAAAGCGGTGGCTCAAAACAGAAACAAACGACTGCGTTGCATCAAGGTTGGAAATGGGCCTTTAAGGAAGTGATCACTGTGAAGTACTGAGGCTAATTTCCTTTTGCTTTGCTTATATAACAACAAGGTCACGCATGAGTCATCTGACTGTGACCAACCTCGAAGAGAAGAAGCTGTCATCGATCGATAGGGAAAAAAACAAAACATGGTTCGCCCTTTGTTGATTTCACGACTTTTACACGTTCTTCACAGAACGGTAAGATTTCTGTTTCTCAGCTGTCTTGCTTCAGAAGGTATGTGCTCAAACTTATTCTCTTTCGTGTTTGACGCGGACGGTGTCAACAACATTTTTGTATCTAGGGTCTGAATTTTGGATACAGTATTAAAAAATGTATAAACTGCGAATTTTGACACGGTAAACTTTGAAAGGACTGTCATGTATCACCGAACTACGGTAAATAATTTGGAGGCCATTCATCGAAATTGAAAGCGGCTTATACGAACATGCGTCAGTAAAAATCTAGGAATCACTTCTTCCGAGTTTAAAATTTTTATCATTATATAGACAGTACCCCCGTTAATCGCAAAATTCGACGAGAGGAATTTGAAAAAACCAAAAAGGATGTGACATTCCTCACAAGATGAATGTTTCCTTCCTTCACGAATTAACCTGAGTTA